AGCCGTGCCAGTCACCTTTGGCGATCATAACATTTCATTATCTAAGCAATGCCAGCTTCAGTCCTGGCTCTACCCATTTACTATGTGACGGTGGACAGCTCTCTCTTAACTGGAGTGACGACGAGAACAGTGGCAGCCGTGCCAGTCGGTCTGTGTTCATCCGGGTGACAGAACTGGACTGAAGCAGTTTAACCAAATAGGCTTTGTGTTTTCTCCTCACGTGGCAGGAAGTCATGAGGTGGCCAGTTGAGCTCGTGGATTTCTCAAGGAAGTGGTCAGGGACTTGGGCTTCTCCCGGCTGCTGCTCTGCCATTCCTAACATGTGGCCTTTGTCCTCGTGGTCCCAAAGTGGCTGCCAGACCTCCAGCACCACTGTTGTGTTCCAGGCAGGACCCCGTGAAATTGATGGCATTATCCATTTCACAGAGAGGAAAGCGATGCTCACGAGGATGAGAAATCCCTGTCTTAAGGGAGTGAGTGCTGTGAGGGCTGAGACCATGTCTGTGACCTGGGGCACAGTAGGTGTAGCCGTTGTTTGCTCAATGGGAGAGGCCTCTCCAGGCCCCTAGGGGATGATGGTGGGCCTCTGGGTACTGGAGCCCCTGCACATGGCCGGCCTGGGGCCTCAGACCCCCTGGGGCTGCCTGTGGCACCTCAGAACTGGCCCTTGAGTGGGACAGCAGTGTGGCCTGCTTAGTCGAGGGTGGAGGATGCTGGTTGTGCCAGGACAGGCTGGGGCTGCAGTGATGGCCAATGACACCCAGGCCTGGGGACAGGCAGCAAGGTCCCTGGCTCTGAATCCTGCAGCTCGTGTCTGCTGACCCGGTACTCAGTGCCCACTGCATGGGAGGTACAGGGGATGGTTTGTTTTTGTTCCATTTAGGAAGACAGATTTAAATTCAGGGGCAAACTATGGCCTGAGGACCAATCTGGCCCACCACCGTCTTTGTCAATAAAGTTTTATTGACACCCAGCCATGCCATTCATTTACATATTGTCCCTGGCTGCTTTTGTGCTACATGGCAGAATCGAGTAGTTTGACAGAGACTTTGCAGCTTGCAAAGCTTGAAATATTTACTGTCTGGCCCTTTGCAGGATTGGTTTGCTGACTGTGGCCTGTACAGAAAGCAGCCAGGATCAGGGCTGTGCAGGCGGGCTTCCTGAGAGGCGTGGGTGGGCGGGGGCTCACCAGGGGCTGCGGGGTTTCTGGAACACATGATGCAACAGCCATGTGGGGGCTTGGTCAGGAAAGGAGCTGCTTGGGGTGCAGATGGCCAGCGTGCGGCTCTGAGCATCTGCGGGAGCAGCGGGCCAGGCGATGGTGAGGTGGCCTGGGGGCATGTGGCCCATAGGACAGCACTCCTCAGCTCGGCCCCTGGTGAGGGGGCTGTGGGCCAGAGCAACTAGTTCATGCCATTTTCCAAGAGAAGCCAGCAGTCTGATGTCATGGAAAACGTTTAAAAAACCACGTGCCTCAGGTGTGCAGGGTGGAAGTGAGGAAGGGGGTGTGTGTGGGGAGACCCCGGGGCATGCCAGGCCCAGTGCCCCGAGATCCCTCCTGCAGAGGATGGCAGGCGGGCTCTGTGCTGGGGGAGGGCACTCGGGAAACTGGGAGGTCGGATGTGTGGCTGAGCCCGGGGCCTGCATGGCTGGTCTCCTGTCTCCCATCCTGTCGGAGCTGGTGGGTCACTCCTGCCTGCAGGCTTGGGCTTGAGCCTGAGTGGGGCACCCGTCCTTGCTCATCTGGCCACCCCAGAGGGGCGGGACTCTGTAGGTGGAGGGTGGGAGGTGGAGATCTCCGAAGTCCCCTGAGAGATTCTCAAGGGTTTGGGTTTGCTGCTCTGTCCTCATGGAGTTGAGGCCGTGCCAGGAGGGGTGACAGGTGGGGGCGGGGCTTGGAGCTGCATGGGCCTGAGCGGACCCCAGCTGGAGGCTGTGGCCTGAGATGGGGAGGACTCTTTCATCGCAGGTTGCCGTGAGAATGAAGAGAGAATGGGAGTGACAGGGCTGGGTTTGCACAGCATCTGGGGTGCCTGTGCTGGGGCCTGGCCCCGGGGGCAGGCCTGCTCCCCCGACAGCATCTGGGGTACTGGGCTATTTTCAGCCTCACAGATGGGCCCTCACCTGCTGAGTCGAGAACTGGTTTCCAGGCGCTCGCTGGCACCACTCTGGGCTTAGTATTTGTTTTAAGCAGGACTCTTGGTTGCAAGTGACAGCAGCCCAGGCCAGCTTGGCTTCTGCAAGAAGTCCTGGCTCAGGAACAGGGAGTCCAGGGTGACTCTAGCATCTAGAAAAATAGGATTCAGGTGCTCAAACGATATTGTCAGGTCTCAGTCTTGCTCTGTCTCCAACTCAGCTTCCTTGGCAGGCACCCCAGTGGTGGCAGAAGTGGCCTCAGGCCCTAGCCAGTTTGGCTCAGTGGATAGGGGGTTGGCCTGTGGACTGAAGGGTCCTGAGTTCAATTTCAGTCAAGGGCACATACCTGGGTTGCAGGCTTGATCCCCAGCCCTGGTCAGGGCGCATGCAGGAGGAAACTAATCAATGTCTCTCTCTCACATCGATGTTTCTCTCTCTGTCTCTCCCTCTCCCTTCTATTCTCTCTAAAAGTCAATGGGAAAATATCCCCGAGTGAGGATTAACAACAACAATAACAAATAAGAAGTGACCCTCAGGCTTGGGACCCATCTTCACAGGAACCTGGGTGGAGTTGGAGACATCCCTGTCCCAACAGCAACAGTCCCACAGCTGCTTCTCATTGGCCCAGCGTGGGTCACGTGATCACCCCGGACCCGTCCCTGCTGGGGGAGGTCCGGCCTCCTCTCACCCTTCCTTTAGCTGTAGGGTGGGCTGGGGGCTGGCACAAGTGAAAGCAGGAAAATCAAGATGCCCATCCACACCCGAATGGGAAGTGGAGGCTGGACGGGCACACGCCCTCGCCACGCCCACCCACCGGCTAGAGCAGCGCTTGGAGCTGAGGAGGCCGCATTCCGAGTCCCTGGCTCATCACAGGCCACCTGTTCTGGCAGACGTCAGTCCCGCTCTCCAGCGGCTGAGTCACTTGCCCACATTCCCCCCGTGCCCCACGGTGTTGCCAGGGGCTTGCTCCAGGGCGGGGACGGAGCCGCCAGCTCCACAGCCTTCCTTCTGGTCGTGGAGGCTGGGGGCCCTTCAGACAAGGGAGCGCGAGCCTGTGCGCAGAAGCTTGTTCTTGGGAGCCCTGTGGGTTCCTCACGGGAACTTCCTTTTTCTGAGCATACGCAGCAGCTCTCTCATAACTGTGCGTCTGGCGGGGCCCACCTCCCTGCACCCCCTTTCCTTGCTTTCCGAAGCAGTGATGATGTTTCCCTCCATCACGAGGCAGGACCATTTCTTACATCAGATCTCGCTGGATCTAGAGACACCATGACATCTAAAGCTGCTAAAAGTCTCTTCTGACCACTTCGTGGTTCCTTCATAATGAGATGGATTTTCCTCCTTTTTTGGGAGTCTGTCCCCTTGAGAGAGGAGGCAAAAGCCCCGCCTGTGTGGTAGAGCCATTTCAGAAAGAACAGGGGATTGGGATAAGGCCCAGCAGCCCCAGGAGGGGCCACACAGCGGGCCCGGGACCCTGGCTGTGACCTGGCCTGGTCACTGGCCTGTGGGGACTCTCAGGGGCCCCTCCTCTTGCCTAGGCCCTGAGCCTGTCTTTCAGGATCACAGAATGGACTTTGGAGTGTTTTCTAGATGGCACTGGGCGGGGGCCAGTTCTCGGGAGGAACGGGGTGAAGATACCCTAAAGCTGTGGGCTCTCCTCTCGCCTCGCCGCATCGCCCTGGTGTGAGTTCTCAGTTGTGTCTGGCCGCGGTGCTATTGAAGGGCTTGGTCCCCATCTGCGGGGGTGGGGGGGGATGATGCAGCCCAGGGAGGTGCTGGGAGCAGGGGGACAGGTGGCAAAGGCCCATGTCCCACGTAGCCTCCTAGTGGGCTGAGCCAGGGTGGGCTGGCCGTCGCTGAGTGCGTGGGATGTTCTATTCATCCTTTTGTGAGGCTCGCCTGTGGCCAATGTGAAATGCTGGTCTTGGTTTTCAGATGTGGGTGACGACACGGAGGTTTGTGCTCCTAGACACCTGGGCACGTCCTGCCTTATTGGAAATCCTTTGATGCAATTGAGAGGGCTCGGTGTGGGGAGAGCTCGGGGCCCTGGGCTCAGACACTAGAATCCGCCTCCTCCCCCCTACACCCTGCCCATCCCCCTACCGGAGCAGCCCCTCTGCAGCCTGGCCGATCCTCAGCTGTCACTCACTGGGATCAGCCCTGAGAGCTCTGAAGGTGCCCAGTGCCCAGGCCACACCACCGACCAGTGACATCAGACTCAGGGCAGGTCCGACGTGGTCCTTCCTAACCCTCCCAGGAAACTCCCCATGCGTCTGAGTTTGAGGGGATCCTGGGTAAAGCTGGCCTTTCCTCAGATGCAGGTGTAGCCTGGAGCGTCTGCCACTAGAGAGCTTGGGGAGGGCGCCTGATGGAAAAGCCCCTTCCCATCCCCCCTGCAGCAACATCCACCCAGAAATAAGTAAGCGCTTCCTAAAACGGTTCGATTGAAAAAACAAAAACTAACACATGCATGTGGCACACACTCAGGAGCACAGATGGGTCCCCAGTAGCCCGTCCAGTTCCCGCAGCGGCAGGCCCTGCCCAGGCTCCCGGGGACCCTGCCGAGCTGTCTGTGCCCTGGCGCAGCGGCTGGCTTTCCCGGCGTCCCTGTGCATGCCGGGCTCTGCCTCTGCCTGCCGAGCCCACACGGTGCTCCCTGCCCACACGGTGCTCCCTGGGGCACAGGGACCTGCACGTGGCCGGCTCCCTGGGGGCGGCTTCCTCTGGGCAGAGCTGCCAGAGCCTCGCGGAGTCTCCCATCATGTGCACGACTCTCCCTACAGGACCCGTTCCTCCAACTGGAATTCTTGGGTCACAAAACAAGTGGAGTCACATGGCTGATGGGCACCCCGTTTCTGTCATTCCAGAACCTGTCCAGGCCGGCGTCCCCGCTGTTTGAGCTGCCCGCGTTGTACAGGACTGAGGACTACT